GCCATTAAAGAATAAATAGGTGTTCAAGTTGAAAAAAGATTGTGGCAAACTAGTGAGGTACAAAGCTCGATTGATAGTAAAAGGTTTTTCTCAGGAACCAGACATCGATTTTGATAAGATTTTTGCTCCAGTTGTAAAGATGAGTTTTATTCAAGTGGCACTGAGATTAACAGCTAGTTTGAATCTTGAGCTTGAGTAACTTGATGTTAAAACTGCATTTTTACATGGTGATTTACAGAAAGACATTTATATGAATCATCCTGAGGGTTTTGAAGTGAAAAAGAAAAGAGCACTTAGTTTACAAATTGAAGAAAAGCTTGTATGGCTTGAACAAGCTTCGCGATAGTGGTACAACAAGTTTAATTCTTTTATGGTGAGTCATATTTATAAAAGAACAACAAAGAATTCTTGTGTGTATGTTAAACAATTCCCTAATGATAACTTCATTATCCTATTATTATATGTTAATGATATGTCGATTGTAGGACCAGATGCTAATATGGTTTACAGGTTGAAAGAATAATTGTCTAAGTCCTTTGATATGAAGGATTTAGGTCCAACAAAGCAGATTTTTAGTATGGAAGTTATTTGGGATATGAGAGCTGGAAAGCTGTGCTTGTCACAAGAAAAGTATGTTGAACGAGCGTTTGGTAAATTCAACATGTAACATGCTAAATCAGTTAGCAGTCCACTTATCAACCATTTTCATCTAAGTAAGAAATCTTATCCAGTGTCTAAGGAAGATCAACTAGCTATGTCTAATATTCTTTATTCTTCTGCAGTCGATTCTTTAATATATCTTATGATTTGTACAAGGCCTGACATTGCTCATGCAGTTGGTGTAGTGAGCAGATTTTTTTTTAATCCGGGAAAGATTCACTGGGAAGCAGTGAAATGAATTTTTAGATATTTAAGGGGTACCTCAAAAATGTGCTTGACTTATAGAGTTTCACAACTAGTTCTAAAAGAGTTTATAGATGCTGACATGACAGACGATCTTGATGGTAAAAAATCTACTTCAGGGCATTTGTTCACTTTTACAGGATGAGCTGTATCTTGGTAATCTAAGTTACAGAAGTGTGTTACTTTATCAACTACAGAGGCTGAGTATATTGCAGTAATCGAAGCATGTAAAAAAATTATTTGGATGAAATATTTTTTTCTTGAATTGGGGTCGAATCAGAAAGAGTATGTGACATTTTGTAATAGCCAGAGTGCTTTAGATTTGAGTAAGAATACCATGTACCCTGCTAGAACAAAGCACATTGATGTTAGATATCATTGGTTACGTTCAGTGATTGAAAAACAGCAGATGCTATTGAAAAAAGTTCATATTGATAAAAATGTAGCAGATATGTTGACTAAGATACTTCCTAGGAAAAAGCTTGAGCTTTGTAGTAACTTGACCAGAATGAGTTCCTTGGCTAAGGTAAGTTTTAAATGAAACTGCTATAATGATAAATCTCCTCTTAATGGGGTTGGAAGGGGAGATTGTTAGGAAAATGAGGTCCAGCCTCATGTAAGTGGTTTTGGATCAAGTCAAGGTCATGGGCCTTGATCTTTTATTTTACACAGAGCCCTAGCTACTTAATAAAAAAGAGGTGGGGTTGTTTTAAGTGTGTGTCGAAAACCAAGTAGAGAAAGAAGAAAAGCCAGAAAAAGCAGAGAGAAAAAGGAGAAAGGAGAGTTGGTTGAACGGAAGTCGATCCGTGGTCCGATTGAGTTTGAACCTTGTCAAGAGGTTTATGATTCAGAGTTCTACATTCTGAACGGTGAAAATCGGGTTTGAAGCTCTCTAGGAACAAATGCATAGTATATTTATTGAATCACTTATTTAGTGAGATTTCTCCAATTGTTTCTCTAGTTGTTGATTAGCTTTAGTTTTAACTAGAGAAGAACTTTGTATACCTATTATTTGATAGTGAAAATTTTTCTGGTGATCCGTGATTTTTTTCCTCTACACTGGAGGATTTTTCATGTAAATCTTGGTGTGCTTTATTTTTTTTGTATTTTTTTATTATTGATTGTTGTTTATTATTTTTGTATTGTTGTAATTATTGCTTTATGCGCAACACTGGCTAAGTTCTTTCGCCGCATAAATAAAAAGCTGGTCGAATATAATGTCTACCCGAGAAAATCGTGTTGAATTCAGTTTGGATCAGGCAATACATTAAACCCATTTCTTATATTATCTTGGCTAGTTCCATTTCTTTCTTCAGAGCAGATCTAACAATCAATCTTTTCTCAATATATGAAAACAGAATATACAAGTGCAGATCACTTAATGATCAACTAAAAAAATTCCCATTTGTAGACGTGGATGTGATTTCAACATATGCTTTGGCCCCCTTTGTATTCTTAACCTGAATTAATTTTTTGGTTACATGAAACCGTGCTCATTCAAGCTTCGACATGATTGGCATAAGGGTGACATATTTCAATTATTTATAGTCTAAATTGACATGGTCTGTCTTCAAAAGACAAATAAAGGGGCTCATATACAATTTCCTTCTTAGATGGAATTTCTAATGAGATGAAGCATTTGTCATCACACCTAGACGGTCTTGACATGGTCTCGCACACTTTAATGGAAAAAATAGGACCATAATTTTGAATTTTAGACTTTTTACTTGTAATTTGCTGCCTTTTTGTTTTCCTGTTTTGAAAAAAATTGCAATAACGAGTTATTTGAGCAGTCTATTTCTTTGCTATTCAAATAAGAGAATTCAAATTGACCAGTAAAGTATGGAAAATCCCAAATTTAGTAAACAAGCCAAAAATTTTGATGATATTTTCTGTCGTTGATGCTAATCATTCATGAAAGTGAACGACAAGAAGAACTTCCATGAAACTGCAGCAAAGACTCATGGCCATGGAGAAAAAAAAAAATTGCTCCTGGCTAGTTATTCTATCCCGAGAGGAAGGGTGTCAGACAGGTTTCACCTTTTATTTTTCTAGGAAAAGAATATGATTATGCATAAGTAGACTTTTCTAAGTTCTATTATGTTAACACTATATGATGCAATCTATTTTTCAAGAGAAGATGTTAGTATCATGACGTTCAATTTCTTCAAATAATTTCCTTATAACCAAAAGTCTTAATTCAAAATTCTTTCCAGACAGTATTCACAGCATTTTCCCCATGGGTGATTTTATTGTCGTTAATCGAACTTATCTATAGATGTCATGTCACAAGGGCACAAAACCGAAGCCTCCCTTTTCAAGTCTGGTGTCTGGCCTCTTTCTACATCCATCTTCAAACATTACTCTGTGAACAGTTAGCCTGATTATTGTATGCAATTCCCAACTTGTAAACTTGTTGCCTTTAGCTTCGGTCCGTTGGCTGAGATGTATTCTTTCTTTTGGGGTTCGAAGGGTTAAGAAATTGACCTGGTGAAGGTCAAACAACCCTATAACCGTGGTTTGAAGATCATGATTGGAAATATACGACCGCAAAAGACCACAACCAAATTAACTACCACTTTAATTGATCTAATCTTTAGCAGGACCACTTCAGCTTTGAAGAGAGAGATGTAATATTGGTCCACTATTTTCCATGTTCAGTTCAGCTGCGGGTCATTTCTCCTGATGTACAATGACAATTACTCTATTCCGGTTAACCAGAGACTCAGTGTACTAAAAAACTGAATTTGAGGAGAGTTATTCTATTCACATGCATTCTAGTTATATATGGTTAACTGGTTTCCATCAGCTAGAGTCGTTGAACTTGAAGCCATATTTTTGCTTGTAATTGGTTGGTACAAATAAGTGTACAGCGATGGTCATTCTCATACGTTCTTTTTTTATATATATAATTCTCTACCAACAAATTAGGTAATTGTTAATGGCTCGAATGGCCATAAGTTCGCCATTAAACCACCCATTGTAGTCAGTAACAGGTCTAGCGATAGTCTCAGGTCCTTTTGGACAACCAAAATTACCGAAGAATTAAAGTTCTTTGAATCCCACTTCATAAAAAAAGGGGAGATTAAAGCATTTATGTTATATAAATATATATGAGAAATTATTACTACAAATTCATTCAGAATTATTAATGCCCTTTTCTTGGATCTTTTCTAAATCCCTAAAATCAATAAACTTTGCCGATCAAAAAATTCTTAACAGGCGAGTAATTTTGATTGGGCCACTGCTTGTAGCAGCTAAGTAGTCATTTGATGTAGAAAAAAATTTATATGAAGTTGTCAAAGCGAAATTTATAAAAAAATTTTTATTAAAAATGAGTAAATAAAAAATAAAATTAAAAATTAAAATCAATATATTGAAAATTTTCATCACATAGATTAAGGGTATAAAATTTAAAAAAAATTTAATATATTTGATATATTTATTAAATAAATATTTTTTGAGTAAAAATTTATTAAATAAATATTTTTAATAAAAATATTAACAGAATTAAATTATAAATAATTTTTTAAATAATTTTTTACATATTATTAATCTTCACATTAAATTCTATCAATTTATAAATTTAAATTTTTTATTGAAATTTATATTAAATTATTTTTAAAAAATTTATAAATTTTACCTAAATAATTTCATATAAATTTTATTCATTTTGACGTTGTCATATATTTCTTGTATGGTTCTTGCGCCGTTTGCCGCTTTGGTTTAATAAAGCGATTTAAAAAAAAAAAAAAAAAAAACTCAGTCGACCGGAATAGCCTTAAGCCAAGATATAAAGTGAACAATCTGACAAAATCAGGGGAAAGAAATGGAAGCAAGAAATACTACCGTAAGTTACCCTCGACCAAGGTTATAAGTTTCATCATCAAATAGTAAATTTATAGGCATTACTTTGATTTGTACGTCTTGCCACATCGTTAAAGACTGTCATCTTGTATTATCGGCGTCACAAACAATTTAGCTCTCACTTAAAAATTACGTTACTTCAGCCTACTTGACAAATTCAACCAAGACCGTTGAGAAAGGCATATAAATAGCCAACTTTGCTCTGTATGGGGAGCACAGGACATACACAACTTCAATAGCCTTCTAGAGCTCTTTTTGTAATTCCCTTCTTTTGTAACAACTTCTTCAATATTTTTTGTTCTAAGAGAGAAACATGCAAAACACAGTGAGGTTTTCGAGCTGCAGAGGTGTGTCCTTCGAGATCCAACCTCATGCAGACCCATTTGCCGTTCCTACTCCAGCTCAAAATGAGACTCGCAGCGGGAGCAAAAAATCTTGGTTTCCTTGGTACCAAGGGGGTTTATCCAATTCCAGGGTGTTCCCTTCTGCCATACAAAGGTCTGTGAGTCGACCAAGCAGTCACTTCTGTGACCTTGACCTTGATGAAGATGAAGATGAAAATGAAGATGATGTCATATTAGAGGGACTAGAAGAGGGCAAGGATCAGGAGAAAGAAGAGAAGCCAAATTTTCCATCTGCAAGCAAACGTGAACAAACACCAAAGCCAGCTCGCAAGCAAGAATCAAGATTATCAGTCATTTTGCTTGACCAAGGGCTGTTCACTGTATACAAAAGACTCTTTGTGGTCTGCTTAACCCTGAACATCATTGGTTTGGTGCTTGCTGCCACTGGACACTTTCCATATGCAAGAAATAGAGCTCCCCTTTTCTCGATTAGCAATATTCTTGCTTTGACACTCTGCAGAAGCGAGGCCTTCCTGCGAATAGTCTTTTGGCTTGCGGTCAAGGTGCTGGGAAGGTCTTGGGTACCTCTCCCTATCAAGACTGCTACCACATCCCTCCTTCAAAGTCTTGGTGGGATACACAGTAGCTGTGGAATTTCTTCGGTTGTATGGCTCATATATGCCTTAGTTCTTACTCTCAAAGACAGAGATAACACTTCTTCTGAGATCATAGGTGTAGCCTCTACTATTCTTTCCCTTCTCTGCCTCTCATGCATGGCCGCATTTCCTCTAGTCCGCCACCTCCATCACAACGTCTTTGAACGGATTCATAGATTCGCCGGTTGGACTGCTCTTGCTCTTCTATGGGCCTTTATCATCCTTACAATCTCCTATGACCCAATAACCAAATCTTACTCAAAAGAACTTGGTTCAAGGTTGATCAAGAGGCAAGAGTTCTGGTTCACAGTAGCCATCACCATCCTAATTATTATCCCATGGTTGACAGTAAGACGCGTGCCTGTCAAGATCTCAGCTCCTTCTGGCCATGCCTCCATTATCAAGTTTGAGGGCGGAATAAAGTCAGGTATACTAGGCAGAATCAGTCCATCACCCTTTTCGGAATGGCATGCCTTTGGAATAATTTCGGATGGAAAAACTGAGCACATGATGCTTGCTGGTGCAGTTGGCGACTTCACAAAATCCTTGGTCTCAAATCCACCAAGCCATTTGTGGGTTAGACAAATGCACTTTGCTGGCTTGCCTTATCTAGTCAACATGTATGACAGGGTTTTGCTGGTGGCAACAGGTTCAGGAATCTGCGTGTTTTTGTCGTTCCTTTTTCAGCCATGCTCAGCTAACGTATGTGTGCTTTGGGTGGCCAAAGGTATTGAGCAAAACTTCGGAAAAGAAATCAAAGAAATGATGAGCGGGCATCCTAAAGATAAGGTGATTGTCCATGATACAGCTGTGCTAGGCCGTCCTAACGTGTCTGAGTTGAGTGTTGATGCTGCTAAGAGATGGGGAGCTGAAGTGGTCATTGTTACAAGCAATCCAGAAGGAAGCAGAGATGTTGTCAATGCTTGCAAGGGAGCAGGAATTCCAGCCTTCGGCCCCATCTGGGACTCCTAAATTCTATAACTGATCTCACTGCACAATAAATTATTTTTCCAAGTTTTCCTTTGATTCCAAATTTATTATGGTTTATTCTAAACAATCTCCTTTCTTCCGCATCGGCCAACCAAACGTTGAGAAAGTGATTGCTATTAGCATTATGTCACATCAGTCCTAGTTATTGTTAAAAAAAAAACAAAATTGAAATACTAAAACCGGTCACTGAAGCGTCAGTGAGGTGCAATTCCTATGAAAAGTTGTGCCCATTGGAGCTTATTTTTTAAAATGATCCGATGGTCTGGTAGACAAAATGCCAGTCATCAACTAGTATTTATGTCCAGTTGATGACAGGCCATTGACTTTTTTTTTTTTTAATTTTATCTTTTGAATTATATTATTATATCAAAAATGTTTTTATTATTTATTATTTATTTTGATTTTTTATTTAAAAAATTTGAAATATTTTTTGTTAATTTAATATCATAAATAAATTTTTTATTTATTAGTAATTTTTATATAATAAACAAAATTTATAAATATTAAATAATTTAAAATTATAAGTATATACATATTTTAATTTAATATCTTTAATAATCAATTTATCTCACCATTAATTTTAAATTTAAATATATATTCAATTATTAATTTTAATCTTATGGATATATTAATCAATCTCATCTCATTTTCATCGTTATTTTCAAACTTATCTTACGACCAAACGATCTCTTTAAGAACAAAATATTCAATTTGAAACATAGAAAAACCAAAGTACAAACAAAACAGACACACACAGAGGGAAAAAGGGCGGATGTTGATGCCAGCATTGCCACCAATTACTGGTACATCGACATCTGCAATATGCAATAAACAAGGCCAATAGCAGGAATCAGTTTTTCCTGAAAGTTGTAAACTTTCCAAGTGTTCTTGCATTTTATTGGCAACCTAATAGAGTATAAATAAAGCGAATTTATAGAGTACACAAAGTAAGAAGATAAATACTACCGGCCACAGTCACTTCAGCCTCTCCAGTATAGAAAGTTTTACTTAGCCCTGACCACATCAACTGTAGTCACACCAAACAACTTCCTCATCATAGGTTCCTGCTTTTTCAAAAACCTCAGCAGCAATAGGGACACTTGAAGTCACTGGATTGCTTATTATATTGACCAGAGCCTAACCCAAAAAAGTACAAAAGTCATGAGCATATGCATAGGCAAGACATAATCACGGGACGCGAGATAAAGGGGATCATGCTGGGACAATAATTAGCAATGGCTACGCATAAGGGTTTCACTATTCCAGCATTTATGTTGAAAAGATAATCACATGTCATTCCAGGCTACCTTGGAACACCCAAAGGAATAATCACAAGGTCAGATCCTTCCAATGCTTTACCGAGCTGTTCTTCACCCACATAGCCTGTAAACTAATAGCCAGAAAAAACAACAAAAGTGAAAAACTTCCCTAAAAGCAAGAACTTGAATTGAGAAAACATAACCCTTTATTCCCCACTTAAGAGAACAAAACTTTTTCAGTCCAAAAATTACATAAACGATATATAATAGTAAAAGGAATTTTTTATATAAAGAAAAAGAATGCTACTTTCTGATTGAACATAAATATAAAAGAAAGGGATGTAGAGAAAGAAACCAGAAGAAAAAGGACCTGAGCAGGAGAGTTAATGTGGCTGACATCAGCGGCAACACCGGGTGTGTTAGCTATATCATAAAGAGAAGGGGAAGAGACAAATGGGTTTAGCTTCATTAACAGAGCCAATGGCTGTCCACTACCCCTGCCGCTCCCAATATCGCAACTTTCCTTTCAGGGTACCCTGTGGAGTAGTAGAACCGACTCAGGAGATGGGTAAATGCACATGGGCTCGGTTACACTGCCGTGACCTTCTTTAACGCAGCCCTTGCACATCTCAACATGCTAATCTTCATTTTGAGGTAGAAGAGAGGGCGAGTAGGAGTTTTTAAGTTTTGAAGACAAAATGGAGTAATGTAGTAAAGAGATCAGAGAAAATGGAGGCTGTAACCAAAAAAAAAAAAATGGAGAGTACCACTGAAAAAATTGAAAAGAAAAACGGGTGGTTTTAGAGTGGTTCGATGCTGCGAATGAAATTTTGACATGTGGACAACTTATTTAAAATTTTCTTTTATTGGTTATTTTCATCCTGGAAATACTTAAAAGAACATTTTTATATTTCTAGTCGTCTCCTGAGGGTACCGCGAACGAGGCGTCTCTTTTAGCCAGGACAGCACCCAATGTTTAATGATCCTGTGTGCAACAAAATGCACTGATAGAAAGTGACTGAAAGTCTGAAACCAGGGAAAAAAAATCGGACTCCAAAATGAAACAGACAATCACTAGAAGATGAAGATGACAGTTTGCCAACTACAAGAATAGACCATACACAATGTTGCCAAAATTTTGGTTGGTTGCCATTTTCTCTGCTTCCCTTGCTTGTATTGTTCGTTGTACTATTCTCACGCAAATGCAACAGCTTCAAGTTTTGAACGATACAACAACGATTCACTTGCAGTTTCAAGTTGTACTGTTAAAATTGGAAAACACAATGCAGAGACATGTTTCCTGGAAATCCCATAAAGAGCATACGCAAATCAGATTTCCTAGTGTTGTTGAGAATTTCAAGAGCCATTATTGTTGGCAGTAAAATGACAAAATCCTCGTTTCTTTCTGCTATTCATAGGAACTTGCTGAAAGCCATTCCAAAAAGATGGCTTGGCTTGGGTTGAAACACTGAAAACATGTTTCTGAGCTTTCCACTTAATAATAGAAATAAGTTTTCGCCGGGTTCTTTCATCGTTGCAAAGTAACAGTCGGTTAATTTCAAGAGACCTCCAAAACACTGGACCTAGTTAAGGCATTCAAGCTTTATTATTTGTATCCCTTCCTACAGCAGCTTCATGACGATCATGTAAAAGAAACAGAAACGGCTTAACATGTCAACACAGAGTAATTAGAATCAATTGCTACAATTTACAAAGTATAATGCAGTAACAAGATTGACAGAAATCTTATCCAGGTCAACTAATTCTATCCTTCTATCTTATTTCAAGCTTATGGTGCTTCAAATTTGCCTCTACTGAGGATTTGGAGGACGGCTGTTAGCAGAGGAAACTCTGGATCCCCATTCCAGCAGCTCTTTGCTAGTGTCATCTTTGTGTGCAAAAACTTCAATGAAACATAATGAATCCTTTTTTTCTCCTGTTGCTGTGGCGATTGCTTCTTTCAGTTCATCCTCTGTTCGCACCTACATTTAACAATTAAAGTATTAAGTCTATGCCTACCAATAAGGTACTCTGCATTAACTGTGGATGCATCTAATCATTTGAAAAATAAAACCACCATATGTAAACTTTGGATTTGGAATTTCTGATCAACATATGCATGCTTTCGTAATAGGCCCAGAAACCTATTGAAATATCCCAAAAACAACAACAGAATCTTTTTTTGCTATGAAGGAGATAAACTGAGAACTGTAGCCCAATGGAAGTAGGGAAGAACTAATGATGATGTTTAATGTTTTGTATTCTCTTGATTAAGCTATGGCTTGTTAGGCCTTTAACTATTTATGCTAAGTTACTAACCTTGGTTGTCCAGCATTTGCCTTCACCATTTTGGATGGCATCAACAAGGCCACTGTAATTCCAGTTCTTGATAACATTGTAAGGGCCATCATGAATCTCAACTTCAATTGTATAGCCTCCATTATTGATAAGAAATATAATGTTTCTTTGTCCACATTGGATCATTGTTGAAATATCTTGAGCTGTCACCTGAACAATTGAAAGAAAAAACCATTAAATGACCAAATTCTTTACCTTATCCAAATATAGACGCTATTTGTTACTTCCAACTTCCAAGCAAATATTGCAGTATATGACCATTCTAGCCAAGATTCATCTTCTCTTATGTTTATTATCATATATATGGAGCAACTGTTTCTTGAAAAGCACTAATTCAGTTGCTTCACAACCATGTCAATGAATTGAAACAGTAAAAATTACTTGCATTATTAGAAACTTCCACCTTCTACCACTAAATTCCTTTTCTATATCAGTGTTATATCAAATGCTTGTGGTTACCCTTAAACGTGTCATTGAAGTTCTAAATGAAAATTATCTCGCTCACCTGGAAACTACCATCACCAATGCAAGCAATTATACGCTTGTCTTTAGCAGCCTGAGCATATCCAAGTGTGGCACCAACTGACCAACCAATGGATCCATACTGCATCTGGAATTCATAACTGCAAGCAATAAAAGTAAACATTTAGCCTGCTGCAAAATAAACATACACGAGTCTTTTTCGAAACTCAAAGAAATGTACCGTTTGAGATGATCTGGCTTACCCGCAGTTCTCTGGAAGACGGAGCTTCTGACAGTTGAACCATGAGTCTCCAGTTTCAGCAATAACTGCAGTGTCTCCACTTAGCATCTCCTGTTAAACAAGGTCAAACAATAAATTAGACAAAAAAGGTAAATGAAAGAAACAAGAATCAAATGAAGTGCCCAAATCTGGTTTTGCATTGTTACGTCTAAATGATTCACATTATAAACTAAAGCAAATGTTTCCACCTTCCAAGAAACCGAAATTAAAGCAGAAAGGGCCAAAAGGCATGTCTTACGCACTTAACTGTATTTGTTTGTTAACCATATTAATTATTCCATATGAAGGCCTCCTAAAGGGCCAATAAATCTCATATGCTCATTCCTTTAGTAAATCTATATTCTAAACTCCAAATAGTGTAGAGGATAATTTCAAATCATGACCTTAGTGCCTACCTGAATGTGCTTAAAGAGAACATTGACTCTCAGAGGCTCATCATCCCCATGCTTCAGAGGCATGCCTGGAGGGATAAAGATTCGCCTATAGTTCTCCACAGCAGTGCTGTTTCTCTTCAGCTTCTTGGCTAATGCACTTAAGAAGTCAGTCATGAAAACCCAGCCCAAAGAAGGACCATTGCCTATAGTCACACGATTAGGCTCCACCATGATTGCTTTCTCCTTCCTGATCAGTAAAGAGTAACCTACAGAGCTGTAATCGTTGAAGATCGGGCCAACAAAAACATAGGCATCAGCAGATTCCACTATCTCCGCGCAAAAGCTGGTGCTAACAGCACCCCAATATGTTCCAATAAAGTGTGGATGGTGTTCTGGCACCAATCCCTTGGCCGAGGGCATTACAGCAATTGGATACCCACTGGCATCTGCAAGCTCTACAAAGGCTTCTTGTGCCTTTGCAACCCTTAATTTGGGTCCACCTACTAGGACAGGCTTCACAGCTTTGTTCAGAAAATCAGCAGTAGCTTGCACAGCTGCTTCTAATCCTAATTGATTGCTTACCCTGCATAATTGTAAAGAATGAGCATCACGAGCATGTAACTTTGTTTCATTCATATCTGAAACAAATATCTATTTAACAGGCCATTCTAATGGATGAAAAGTTCACTCAGTAAACAAGGGCAGGGCATCTTCTATTAAAAGCCCTTTGTAATAGTACTGCAAAAAACATAATATCTCTGTTTTTTTATTCAAATTTAAAAATGTTTCAACCATTTCATCCATGTAAACTAATATTTCTCTTTTGTTTAGGCCTGGCTCCTTAGCTTCAAAAAGCCTCCATTCACCAAGTTAACTATATATCATTATCAGCAATACAAGAAAGATAGGTTATAATAGTCACAACTTAACAACTTTCTGCAACCATAAGAATTGTTCCTCATTTAGATGAATAGAAGAAAAAGTACCCATTTGCCAATTGCCCATCTCAATAATTTAAATGAAGTAAATTCCTCAAAATATACCACTAGCAGCCTACTGATAACTAAGGGAAAGATCAATCTGATTGACCGAAATGGCTAATACCTAAATACAGTAAAATAAGAAGTTAGAGAAAAACTATACTTTGGAACAAGAAAGAAGGGCACTGGCTCTCTATCAAATGTTGGATGAGGAATTCCAGGCAAATTGCAGCTGATACTAATGTAAACCGGCTTGCTTTCCTTCAAAGCTGTTGATATCGCAGTATCTATAAGCTCATGTGCATCATCCAAGTTATTGACCACAGCCTATCATATCAGATCACCGCCACAGCATCATTAGTTTATTAACTTACCCTAATATCAAGTAACTTAGAGCAACCATAAAAAGTTACAATCATATACGCAAATTAATACTAACTGAAAAGGTTCCCTTAACTTACTTGGGCACAGGTGACCGTTTGAAAGCATCTTAGTTCTTGGCTAAAATCAGGCAACCCAATAGTGTGATGCAATATCCGGTTGGTCCCGTAGTCATTAGAATTAGGCCCTCCAACTATGCAAATCACCGGCAAATTCTCACTATAAGCACCAGCAATAGCGTTAAGCACACTGAGGCCTCCAACAGTGAAAGTCACAACGCAGGCCCCCACGCCCTTAGCACGTGCATAGCCATCAGCAGCATATCCGGCGTTAAGCTCGTTGCAGCATCCGATCAGGTTCAGCTCGGGTTCTGCTATGAGGTGATCCAAGAGGGTCAAGTTGAAGTCACCAGGAACTGAGAACACATCCTTCACACCAATCTCCACGAGCCGCCTTGCCAAGTGGCATCCCAGGGTGCCACTCGAGCCACCCCCACGGACCGGAGGGGGTAAGGAAGTGGGATATGCTGATGAACCGATTTTGTTACCAGCTTCCATGCAGTAGACTTTTTTGTAACAAAATGATTAAAAAAAGCAAGGGTAGGGAACTTTATGAAATAATTGATGTTAATGTTGAAGATGAAGTAATTTGGTGAGTTTTCAAAGGTTTTGGAGTAGGTATTAATATAAGTTTTGCGAAGAGAAGGTGGGTTTGATTTACAATGGGCTGGTGTCACGGAAAAAGACACGGGACCGCTATCCGCTAGAAAAGTTATGTTCAATGGCTAGGCTTCGGTTGGTTTTAGAGTTGAAGGAAAAACAGGATTATGCGGAAACCATGATTAGTTTTTTTTTTTTATAATTTAAACTATCCTTAAATTTTTTATTTTATTATTTATTTAATTATAAAGGACATTTATGTATAAATTTTTTCGAATCAATAATTTTTAAATATCAATTTTAATAATATGTATTTGATAAAAAAATTAATCAACTCTTTTTTAAAAGTTGGTGGTTTGCTAAACTTTAAGTTTTTTTTGTTGCCTGATTTGTGGTGTAGTTGTCGGTTTCGAACTGTGATTTTGATTATTATAAGATTATAGGTGGGAATATTTAAGATTTATGCCAGGAAATATAGGAAGAAGATGAAAGGGACCACTATGTTGGAAAACAGGAGCAAGTTGGTCTGGTTTTACATTACATTTGTCTCCCTTGAATTTCTCAATTCATGGGTTCTTTTAGATTAATAAAAACATTGCACATTGTCCTAAAAATTGAAAATTCTTGTCTTGAGAAATTATTGAATGTCTTAGGCTTGAATATTGACTGAACTTTTCCATTTCAGAAGCTTATAAATGGTTTTTTTTTTTTTTTTCCAATGGGTAAAAATGAAAATTCATTTGGTATGGAAACAAATATACTTCTCTTTTACTTTTTCTATATCAGGAAAAACAGAATTTCTATTCTACATCTCTATCAGCATTGAACGATTGAACCTGCTTACGGATTCTGTTCATAGTGATTATCTATTATTCTATGAATAAATAACTTGCTCTTCCTTTATTTAGCCCGCTGTTTCCTTTCTCCCTCGCCCACCAAAGGTTAAAAAGGAAGACGCATGTGCATCTAGTCTTGGGGAACAAGTAGATTGATAGACATTACCCCAAAAAGAGAGGTCAGAGGTCAGATTTATTCGTTGAATTTGTAAAGCCAAATTTTTTTACAAGTCGCATATATACTTAGAATATTCTATTCTATTTCCAATCAAAGGTGTGCCATGGTGGAACTCGGGTTGATTTTATACAGTGGCAGCCATATGTTTTGTATTGGTCAAGGCAACGGAAATTATTTTGCAACGTTGACCAATTGATCTTATTATTTGTCTGATTAAGTTGGAGATTGTGTGATTGTTAATCTGACATATACCTGATTGAAATAATCCAGGTTGAAAAGAGAAGAAAAAGAACTCATGTTCTAAAATGAAGTACGATTCAGTATTTCTAACAAGGGATCTTAGAGGTGAACCACTTTATGACCAGGATGGGAGCCTTGATCAAACCTAGTGCAAACTCAACTACGGTGGTTAAGCACAAGCAAAATGAGCAGATGCAAGTCAACACCAACCTGCAGCATCACAAAAACAACCCCATTAAATCATATTAAAAGCAGCAATTAACATCCTACAATCCAGACAACTATGCCAACAAGGAGGGATAACAAGAAGAAGGGCAGATCCAACAGGAAGTCTAAGGGCCTGCATTCGCAATCATCACAGCAGCAACAGCAAGACATATTTCTTGTTCATAACTCTCGGTCCTGTTCTTTGCTCTTTGTTCATTTTTTTTTATTTCAGTTTTCTTGCTTTTCTTGATTAATTTCTTCGATCTCTCATTAAAAAAATCTATAACTTGAAATTATAAAAACACTTCAAACCTCTTATCTCAGAGAAAATATCACTACTGATTAGGTTATATCTCAAATATTAATGTTATATAATGAAATTAAAAGCATGTTTTAGGACTAAAGAGGTCAATTAACTTTTTGCAGGACATGACTAGGCCTAAGAACAATTCGGCCTGCCGTTACGCGCTTTCTACCTAAGCCTAATGGATTAGTCTTATAATATGGGCTTCATCCACTTTCATGATAGTTTGGGCTGCAAGGCAAGGCAAGCCTATTGGTCACTTGATTGCCTTCAAGAAAGCTAAATATAAGAAGAATATCCTAAATGATACTTCTCAAGGATTGACTTTGATTTTCAAATAACAGTTTTTACATTGTCAGTTATCATTCATATGTGAAGATTATCCATGTTTGTGAAGATTACTAATTAACTTAATTGAATTAATTCAGTCAAGGGCTCACTGAAGGAGTCAAGGAACCTCGACGTTTGGTATTTGCAATCTCAATGCCTGGTGATGGGTGAGAATGACGCACTCCTCATGATTTGGCATGCGGAAAAAACTACTTAATACTAAATATATATAGCTTGTCAAGTAGCTATTTTATAAGCTTTATATTCTTAGCATTCGAGATGCTCTGAGATGAGTATGTACACATCTCGATGATCGAAGTTTCACAATTCTTACTAGAAATTATTGAAAGTGACAAACAGAGCTACCCCGACCACATTGTCTCTAGGGCAATCCTGGTGTATGGTTGATCCTCAAGTAAATGGGAGGTAGCTAGTTATGTTAAGGATCAGGCCCTCCTGTTGAAATTCTTGTTGCATCCGTCAATACTCTCATGTCATGCTTCATTGCGCACAAATCATAGCCTGCCAATGCATGGATGATGGTTTGACTATCAATCTTTTTCTGCATTGTCTTATGCCTGGCATAACTCTTTGCTTCGACAATATTAATTGCATTTGCTGATAAAATGAGTAATATGACTAGTGAAGCCTGCAGTGATGGTTGCATGCATTTCTAAGCTGAACGTACCGAATCCAAGGAAACTGATCAGTAATAGATAGATATGGATGGCAATGGCAAATGGCCATTTTATGGTAACATAAATCTCATTCTCATATATATTTGGAAATTCATGGCAAACGTCCAAGATTTCACAGCTCAGGAAACAATGGTGTGGAGTATGCAAGTTGACAAATCCGTAGGGATATTTGTTTTAGTTTTCTAGAAGGTTTATTATTTTTCCTACCATTACCTGTTTACTTTAACTATCCCTTGCATAAAGGCCGAAGCATTTGTCTAAGGTCCCCACACGAGCATACCCACATCTTTGGCTTGGTTATTCATTTCTCATTAAAAGACATAACAGGAACAAAGTTGAGCAACCCCTGAAAATAAAATTGTTAAAGGATATAAAATCCTTGAACCACAGGACGTGAAAGAGACAAACATGGTCAAATTTCATTGAAGTCATTGTTGCGTTTAGTTTTTGTCTCTTGTTGATCGCAAAGTTACTCTGAAAAAAGAATGCGTCTTTGCCACTTTACATGTTAGGACAGTGTTCTTCCACGGGGTTATTAATATCACACAGCACCTATTTGATTCCCAATTTGGCAATTTTTACCTTTTTTTTTCCTTTTTAATTAGGTCTGCTTCTCTAATTTGCAACTTACATTCAACCAGTGAAGCATTATTTATTTTATTTTAAAATTTCAATTTTATTTCATAAAAAATGTCCCATAAATTTAGAATAATATTATTTTTGTGGAGAGACGCACTCTTTGTCCCACATAAAGTCATAAATTTGGGTTTGTATTATTTTGTGGAGACTTGTATCTAATTTACGATGTATTATTCATTTTGATCCGAAAATTTTACAATTTTATCCTATAAAAAGTTTTTCATAAGTTTAGGTTTAAGCTCTACTTAAATATTACAGGAAATCTTCAAAATCTTTTGATACGAGATTGAAGTATCACAAATTCCCGTCATTGATGCTTGGCGGGGAGCAAAGTATATAAATCTATTGAATCACACTAAACGTTAGATAAGCTCAACACAAAATACATGCAGATCACAGAATCAAACATAATACAAAATACACTCAAATCACAGGATCACACTGGACGTTAAAATTTTAAAAGCGACTCTCATCATGTAATATTTAGTTCCTGTAAAATTCTAAAAATGACTCTTATGATATAACACTTAACGTATTCTCATAAAATTTAAAAAATAACTCTCACGATGTAATATTTAATTATCGTCCGACTGATAATTATTTTAATACTATTTATAAACATTCATACTTAATCTAAAAAATATTATTCATTATGATTTAAAAATTTTATAATTTTACCTTATAAAAAATAACTCATATGTTTAAATTTAAATCTCACTTAAATATCATAATAAATTATGAAGACTTGAGGTGTCACAACTTTTTTTTTATTTTTTATTTTTTGGCTCAACGCTGACTCGTAACATTATACTGCGTCCCTAATCAATTGAAAAGTGGGTCTGGTGGTTCTCGTTGTCTTGCATAAAGAACTTTCGAACTTTATAAACCATTTCGTCAGGGGTCGAAAGACGTTGTCAGTTTTTGTCTTATTATTTTTTAAATTCCTAATAAAAACAAGTAACATATGAGTTTTTTTTATATAATTTACCAGAAGGCAAAAGTTATGTCAGTATACACTTGATCTGTACGCCTGATTTTCTGTCGAGCATTTTCTTTGTTATGCTTTAAACTATGATATAAACAATACCTGAGTACGAACCCCCATGGCCAGAATCAAATTCAAGATAACCCTTTTGTTTGGTTTTTTTTTTTTTTTTTTCAATTACTTACACTTCTTTTGATTCATGCTTCAGCTTTTTTTTTTTGTGTTTAATTTATTTTTTATTTTTTGTTTTTCATTTTATTAAAAAATAACACTCCATTAGTTCAATCAGTGTCCTCTCCATTTTATTGCAAATACATTTTCATTTTGAATAGAAAACTGCGTCGCCCCAGCAAGCAACAGTATCATTTAATCCTGTTAAACACTTAAACTACTTCTTAATGTCAACATCAAAATGCTGGAACCATCGAAGTTGAGGGTTGCAGTTAAGGAGGTGCATCTGCTTTGGAACATTTGTAATAACCAAATGATCAGAACGTCAATTGTGAAATTTGTTCTCTAGGAAGTTGATGATTTAGTAATTAGATAAAACTGTTTGTAAAGATACTGATAGGGTTGAATGAATGAATATATAAATTTAATCATCCAAAAAAACACAAAAAAGAAAAGAAAAGAAAAGCTGCTGAATGCTGATGTATGATGCCAGTGCATGCATGCTGTATGTTCTTTCTAATTAACACACGGCTGAAGGCCTGAAATCCTTGAATTCTTAAAGAAAGTAT